GAGAGCCCTCCTCACCCTGACAGCTCCTCCCGTCGGGCAGCAGGTCGTGGCCCTCTCTGCAGTGGCACCGGGGCCCACGAAAGGTGCTAACACACTCGTGCTGGCAGCTGTGGTTCCCAAAGCTGCAGTGGTCAATGGCTGGTGGGAGGGAAGAGAGAGCAAGGTGTCATCTCTGATCGGAGCCATCAGGGACCTCAGTCCAGGAGGCGGGTGGTGGGGCTCACTCACCCCTGCAGCTTCTCTGGTCCTGCTGGAGTACAAAGCCAGCTCGGCAGCGGCAGGAATAGGAGCCTGGGGAGCTGATGCAGTGGTGCTCACAGCCGTGGGTCCCTTCAGCGCACAGGTCGATGGCTGAGGAAGAGGTGAGCTCAGCATCTGCCCTGGGCCTGCACTTCTCAGCCCTGACAGAACAATCATCTGAGGAGCTTTTTAAAAAAAGACCTACGCCGGGGCCGCAACCCCCGAAGATCCTGACCTAATTAGCCCGGGGTGGTCCCCAGGCATCTGTGATTTCTATAAGCACAGGTCACCTTCCTAGTGGGCCAAGTGGCTCCCCCAACTCAAGGCCCAGCTGCAGCCCAGCGTGCCCACTACTAAGCCAGGCATAAGAACAAGAATCCACAAGTGTAGAAGGGCCCCTGCTCTCAAGATGGTCACTGACTCACAGAGGAGGACCAGGTTCTGCCACTTTACCTATCTGAGCCTCCATTTCCCCATCCACAAAATGGGAATATAATGGAAGAATGCAACTGCTATTTCTAACTTCCTTCTAAAGAGGGTGAACTATTGCCTGCTGAGTATCTTGATGGTTTAGATGTACAAAGACAGCCAGAGCTGAGCAGGGAAGTAGGGGCTGGAGAGGTGTAGATTGCCCTGTACAAAAGAGTGAGAACTTGGGGTTCCTAGAAAGGAGATGGGAGTGAAGAACAAGAGAGATGATGTGAGCACGAGTACCTGTGTGGGCTGAAGTTGCCCATGAAAAATCACCTGTAATGGGGTGACAGAGGACTTTGGGGATCAATGGTGTCTAATATTCAATTATAATCAGCAGGTGTTTCTTTTGTGTGTGTATGTTTGACTTTACTTAAATGTGATGCACACTCGGGGCGCCTGAGTGGCTCAGGCGGTTAAGCGTCCGACTTCAGCTCAGGTCATGATCTCACAGTTCGTGAGTTCGAGCCCCACATCGGGCTCTGTGCGGACAGCTTAGAGACTGGAGTCTGCTTCGAATCCTGTGTCTCTGTCTCTCTCTGTTCCTCCCCCACTCATGCTCTGTCTCTCTCTCTCTCTCCTTCAAAAACAAATAAAAACATTAAAAAAGAATTTCAAATGTGATGCACACTCTGTTCACCCCCATCTTTAGTAAAACAGATATATGCACCACTTACATAGACACACACATGGCCTTGTGCACACAAGCGTGTAAACCAAGGAAGAGGCTGATTTACATACACGGAGGAACAGCATGTGCAAGTTGAGAAATTGAGCGAGGACCCATAAGTTGAATGAATTCAGCAGAAGCTCAGAGCAAGAGGTGACCGCAGAAGGTAAGCACTTGGGGAATCCCCAGAGGTCTTGGGGAAAGATTCAAATGGCTTCAAGCCAGCCTCTTCTAAGTTCTAGAAACAAGAAGACCCCAGTTGACATCTGCATTGTTGGAAACACATGACTTCTTTTCCCCAGTTGTTATGAGGTTGAGAGATAATGTATGTGAACGTTGAAGTGCACCGTCTAATACTAAATCGGCACTCGGTGAGTGGTAGCTGCCATCATGTTCAAAGGAGTGGACACACATACACGCGAAAAAGCAAACCCCAATTGTATAAGGAAGGCATAGTGTGGCATACCTTTTCAGAAGACAAAAATGAAGAACCAGGCCTTGAAGGATTTGCAGGTGCAGAGAGAAGCAGCAAGGGCAGACCAGAAAGAGCTGAGATGCAGAAGCAGGAATGCCCCCCACCATATATTGGGGGGCAGGGGTATGGAGACCCTAACTGAAGACCCCAAAAGTGAGTGTCTGCATAACAGAAACAGTAAGAAGATGTGCATGGGAGCATTCACAAGCAAGTTTGGGAGGCGTATCGGAGCCAGGGAGGAGGCAAGCCTGAAATAAGGGAGAGAATGATGCAGAAAGCACACTTAACTGTGGGGTCAAGATTTCACCAAGGAATTGTGTGACCGCAGGCAATAGCTTCCCTTTTTTAGACCCGTAAAGGTGCTGAACCTTTACTTCCAAAGGCCTTTCCAGACTCACTGGTCTGATGCTGAGGCAATAGGGAGCCACAGAAGATTTAGGAGCAGTGAGACTGCAAAGGCAGAGGCAGCTCTCACCCAAACAGCTCTTGTTATCTGCAGCTAGCTGGTAGCCAGGGTTGCAGGCACAGTGGAACGTGCCCGGGGCGCTGACACATTGGTGCTGGCAGCCGTGTCCCCCCTCAACACACAGGTCCTTTCCTGAGGACACACAAGTATAGAATCAGCGAGGGACAGATGGGAAGAACCCTCCAACAAGAAAAAAACTAGGTGGGGTCAGAGGCAGGCACCAAGTTCAAGTACGGCTTTAGGATGGGACCAGCCTCAGGTGAGAGGGAGGATCTAGATGGGAGGGCTTGGGGAAAGAAAGCTCCTGAGTAGTCACTATGAATAATCTCAGAACAGGAGGTCACCACCGGGCTACATGTGTCAATGGGATGGGGCAGGACTGCAGAGGGGTAAGGTAGAGGAGGTGGAGAGGTGTTAAATCAAGGTGGGTGGAATAATTCAAGGTGCAGAATAGATGGGCAGCATTGTGGGAGGAACTAAACAGAGTAGGCGGAGCCATGCCCATGTGGGCGGGGCATGACAGTTTCCGGGTGGGCGATTGCTCTCGGCTGTGACAGGCGGTGCTTCTTGTGTCAAGAGGGGATTTTGGAGTTTGACCTCAGACCAGTGGTAAACCAAAACAGCTCATCGGGTGAGCAGGCGTGCTAAATGTTGCTCCTTGTGGGCTAAGCAAAAGTGGGCAGACCTGCGGCAACCCAGGGCCGCTTAGCTATCTGGTGGGCGGGGCTGAAGCTAGAGTGGGCGGTGCCTCCCGGGACCAGCCGGTATTTGCTCGATGAGAAATCGTTCCAGAGCTCCCCTAACTCACCACACAGCCGACCCTGGAACTGTAGGCCAAACTCCTGGATAAGATCGAAGGACTCAACGAGGAAAACGTGCTCGTCCAGCGGGGGCGACGCCATGGCGCGCAGGGAGCCCACGTCGGCGCGCTGCACCCCCACGGCGTAGATCTCGATGCCGCGGGCGCGCGCCTGAGCCGCCACCTCAGCCACGCGATCCTGGGGTCGCCCGTCGGTCACAATGACAGCGATGCGCGGCACGCGCGCTTCCGGCGGGCGCGCGCCCTCGGCCACGCTGAAAGCCACGTTCATGGCGTACTGGATCGCCAGCCCGGTCATGGTGCCCTGAGCCAGCGGCACCAGCGCGCGAATGGCGCGCTCCATATCCTCGCGGCGCGAGAAGGCGCCGAGCCGGAAGACGCTCTGCACTTGACTCGAGTACTGGATCACTCCGACGCGCGTAGCGTTGGGCCCCACGTCCAGGCCGCGGAGGAGGCCCACCAGGAACTGCCGCATGGTTTCGAACTCAAAGGGACGCACGCTGCGCGAGCTGTCAATCACGAACACCAAATCCAGGGGCCCCGTTCGACACCTGGGACCTTCGAGGAGATCGGGAAGGACTTTTCCTAGGTCTGCAAAACCTCATCTCGGAGGAGATCCCCAGGGAAACCCAAGGCGAAATGGTGCTTTTCCGGCGTAACAGCGCGTAGCGCAGAATTAACCTAGCAAATGCGAGCTAGATATCTCCACTCATCCAGCATTTGCTAAGGCCAGATTTCACCAATTCTCTATCCTACGGCTCTTAGAGCTATTCTGAGGAGGCATTCCCCATTCGGGAGTGGGCGAAGGGATGGCGCAAACTCAAACGACTACAGAGACCGGGCAGGCAACATGAATGAGTGAACTTGGGTTACGCTGACCGACACCCATATCCCTCCCCCAGCCAAATGTTGCCACGCGGACGCCATGTTAACAGGTCCTTGGATTTTTCAAGGGAGGTCCCAAAGCAGAATTGTTACGTGAAGTCTCCTGAGTTTTCAGTTCCCTTGTAAAAATTAAACGCCAAATGGGCACTTCTGCATGTTACCGCCAACTTTGCTACCTCTAAGCCACATCCGACAGATAAGGAAACTGAGTCCCAGAGAGGCGAGGCTGTGAACTAGATAGAACCTAGCCCGTTACGATTTCAGAGCCTTTGTTTTTTCTCTCCCCAGCAGACCTAGCTGGCTGCAGACGGAGAACCAGCTTTTGTTCCCTTCCCCCTGCTGGCGAGGGCTGAGCCTTGCTCACCTGCGAACCGGAGCTGGCTTTCCCAGGGCTGGAGAAGCAGCAGCAACATAGGCAGTGGCGAGCATAGAAGGCCCCTCATGGTGCTTGGGGGACAGAGAAGGGAAGTGCCAGAGCCTGGAGGGTGCAAGGAAAATAGCAACGCGGTAATAGTTACAGAGCTCGTACTCTGGGTGATGGGCACTTGGAGCGGGGGAAGGATCATGGATTTACTTTACTAATGTCTCTACCTTTGTGTGTGTTTGAAATTTTTCGTAATAAAAAAAATTGCAGTACAGCGCTGGGAAACACAGGGAATCCTACTTTGCAGAATTGCAGAGTAGTATTTAGATAAACAGAAAGCAGATTTAAAAACATATCATTTGAGGGGCGCCTGGGTGGCGCAGTCGATTAAGCGTCCGACTTCAGCCAGGTCACGATCTCGCGGTCCGGGAGTTCGAGCCCCGCGTCGGGCTCTGGGCGGATGGCTCAGAGCCTGGAGCCTGTTTCCGATTCTGTGTCTCCCTCTCTCTCTGCCCCTCCCCTGTTCATGCTCTGTCTCTCTCTGTCCCAAAAAAAAATAAAAATAAAAATAAACGTTGAAAAAACAAACAAACAAAAAAAAACCATATCATTTGAAGATAAAATGCCCCTCGAAAAGAAAACATCCACAAAAATAAATGAAAAAGAAAAAGGCCTTTCTAAACGCCAAGCACAGTGTTAAATGTTCTTCATGCATTGGGACGTTTAATCTCGGCAATTCTATGAGACTAAAACTGTTACTCTTCCCAACGTACGGATGAGGAAACCGTCTCAGAAAAGAGAAGCGCTGGTGCCCAAAGTCACTCGGCAAGAAAGTGGCTCGCCAGGACACAGTCCTACGCCTAAGTGGTTCCAAAGACCAGCGACGCGTTCCGCGGCCTCTCCTGCCGGGAGAACCTCTGCAAGAACAAAGCCGTCATTCCCCACCCTGGCCCCCTCCCTCCCCACACAAGGCGCTTCTGTGTGGCTGTCCTTCCAACACACACGTACGCACGCGCGCACACACCCAGACCTGCAGGGCCCAGCCTCTGGCCCCTGGGGAGAGCCGCACCCTTTCACCCGGTGGGGGGTAGGGACCCGCAGCGCGACCGCCAAAACGCGCTACGCAGGCTTGGAGCCTGCACTTCCCGCCTGCTCTCAGGAGACACCGCCAGGGGGCGTCTTCCCGAATCTGGCTGCGTTGGTTAGGTGGCCGTGGGAAGACCACATCTGCCTCGCAGGTGCCCCTGCCCAGAGCAAACAGTGGCCGAGAGCCCCGAGGCCTTGGAGATAAGCCCGGGTCAGGATATATCCGACACCAGGGCCAAGAAGCAGGGGAGCGCAGGGTTCCTGGGACAGCGGCATTGGATGCGCCCGGAAGGCGGTGAGTGAGGCCCCAGCGCGCCCATGGACCCTGTACCGGCAGCAGGTGAGCGCTCACTCTTCCACCGCCCTTGACGACGCCCCTTGATAATCCCGAAGGGTTCCCGTTGTACAGATGGGGAAATTGAGGCCCAGGAAGGCTGCCCGCTGAGCTGCAAAGGAACCTGGGACTCCTGGTTCCCGTTCTCCCTTCTGGGCTGCCTGGCTGCCTAGCAACCTGGCGCCGAGGAGTCACTAAACCTCTTTTCCTTCCATTCACTCCCCCTACTCTATACCCTGCCCCCGACGCCCCATGCTGAAGCTGCCTTAGCCATTTTTCTGTTGCTTGTTTCCTGGCAGAGGGGGCCAGCTGCCCTAACCCAACCGCAGCCCCTCTGGCCCCCTCCCCCAATTCCGTGAATGGGCCTATTCTGAGCAAGGTCGGGTGCGGGCAGCTCACTCCAGGCCGCCTTCCCGGCCCGGATCCCCTCTCTGCCTTCGCTTTCCAGGCCTGCTAGAAGAACAAAAATCCCTCTGGCAGCGCCCGTCGTGGGAGGTTGACTAAGCCAGATGTGCCAGTTGCCGCTGCAAACGGGAGGGTGTAGAATGCCTTCTCTAGCTTGGGCCATAGCCAGGGCCACCTCTGCGGAGCATGGGGGGAAGGAGGGAAGAAACAAGGGGCCCTTGCCACCTCCCATTCTTTCCCACCTGCAGAAGCCTCTGGGCCCCCTAAGATCCCCCTTATCCTGCTCTTGGCCTGAGCCAACATCTCCCCCGGCACCCCCTTCCCCCTGCCCAGTAATCCTAGAAAGTCAAAACATCGACTGCCTCGAAGTGCATCACCTTCCCAACCCTCTTATTCTACAGAGGGAGAAACCAGGTCCAGAGACTAGTGTCTTGCCCTAAGTCACACAGCAACGTGGTGACAGGTCTGATACTAGAACCCCGAGCTCCTCTGAGGGGTTAATCCTCCCGTTAAAAGATTCGGAAATGCCTTAGGGTGGGGAGACTGGGCTCAAAAGGAAGGAGAGGTCTGCAAATAACTCCTCAAGAACTGGCTGATGAATAAATACCTGGGGACACTCCTGGAGGTTCCTCGAGGGAGGAGATTAGGAGGCAAGCAACCCCCCCCCTTTGGTGGCCTTGTTGGTGGAGGCTCAACTTGGAAAGGACCCCACAGAAGTGGAGAAGGGCACTGCAGGTCAGATGGGGGCACCGTAAGCGGTGCGGCGGCGGTTAGACGCGGTCGTCTGGCCTGACTTGACGCCTGCTCCCCTGCAAACCCCTCCGCGCCCCCAGGCCCTTTGACTCACCTGAGCCCGCCGCACAGCTCGGAGGCGCGGCCGCGGAGCGGAGCCGACGGGCGGAGCCTCCCGGGCAGCTGGACCAGGTAACGGCGCAGGCAGCGCGCCCGAGGTGGGGACTGCCAGGCGGCTGGAGCGAGCGGCGGGGGCGGCCGCATTTAACCCGGGGCAGGCGGTGGGGAGGGGGAGCGCGGGCTGCGACCCCTCCCACCGGCCGGGAGCGATCCCCTTTCCTCGCAGGGCTGGGGCGGGGCCAGCGCGGCGCCCCTGCTCCTGCCGCCCCGGGAGCCGCCGGCGCGAGCTGCCGGGCCGGAATTCGGCTCCCGGCGGGAGGCTGGGCGGCCCCGCTCTCCGCCGCCAGAATGCGTCGGATGCCTCCGAGGCCCTTCCCCGAGGAGAGCCCCAAGGGGCGGAGCGGGCCCTGGCTCGGCCGGGCTCTTGCCCTCCGCTGCCCCCTCCAGGAGTGAGAGGCCCGGGACTCTGGTCCTGCGCGACGGGCAAAAGGGTTCAGAAGGGTAGCCGCAGGGCTCCCGACTCTCCCCCAGGCCCCACCTGGAGGCCCCTCAAATCTCTGCCGTCTCGGACTCCTTCGCCGCGTCTCTGCAATTCCTTAAGTCTTGGGCCCACCCACCACCCTCCCTCGTCAAAACTCGGAGGCCGACAAGCCACCAGGCCCCTAGGCTCTGACTGGCCCACTCCCTTGATTCTGGAGGCCCTGAAATCAAGGGAAGGAAAGCTAGGACAGTTAACAGGCCCCTTCTCTTGGGAGAAAGGGGGTGAGGAGGGTTGCTTTGACCCTGGAAGACCGCAAATGTTCCTTTAGGATCCCGGGGACACCGTTTTGGGTGTTTACAGGCTTCTGGGGGCAGGCAAGAGAGTGCTCTGGTCCAGCGGTCCAGCAAAGCTCTTCGCCCCAGCATCCAGATTTCGCCGGGGTGGGTCCCCTCAAAGTGTAAGGAAATCATGCACCCTCACATACTCTGTCTCCGTCCCAAGACCGGCACAAGTGTGGCCTTTGTGCCGCTGGGGCCTCTCCCCAGTGCTTCAGGCTGTGATGGGCATGGAGCCAGACCTGCAGAGTGGCGCCTGGGTGGTCCCGGTGGGCTCCCTTCAGGCCTCGTTGAGTATGGGCAGCCTAAATATTTAACCCACAACTTAAACCCGGAATCCCCTCTCTTACCCAATGCTTTCCGTCCCTGACCCCCCATGAATTTCATTCGACCTCCTTGCTGGGCTCCAGGCCACCTCTCCCCTTAACGCTCATTTCTGCCCAGCTGCCAGCCTGCACCCACCCCCGGGTCACCCCCAGAGCATGTCACGGTCCTGAGGGAAGGCGTGCGCCAGTGCCTACAGCAACAGTGTGAGCAGACGGTGTGGATCCTGCATGCCAAGGTGGCTCAAAAATCATATGGAAATGAGAAGCGGTAGGTGCCTCGCTGGCCCCTTGGAGGTCCCTGCAGCCACCTTCTGCTCTGTGCTTGCCTTGTCTTTTATTTATTGTATTTTTTATTTTTGTTTTATTTAAGGCAATCTTTTTTTTTTTTAATTTTTTTTTTGAGAGAGAGACAGAGAGAGCACGCACAAGCAAGTGGGGACAGGGCAGAGAAAGAGAGGGAGAAAGAATCTCAAGCAGGTTCTGTGCTGACAGCCAGGGGGCTCCATCTCAGGAACCGTGAGATCATGACCTGAGCTGAGATCAAGAGTTGGACACTTAACCAACTGAGCCACCCAGGCGCCCCCAGTTCAGTGTCTTTTAAATTTTTTTTCTTTTTAATGTTTATTTATGAGACAGAGAGACACAGAGCGCTAGTGGGGGAGGGGCAAAGAGAGAGGGAGACACAGAATCTGAAACAGGCTCCAGGATCTGAGCTGTCAGAACAAAACCCGATGCAGGGCTCGAACCCACGAACCGCGAGATCATGACCTGAGCCGAAGCCAGACGCCAAAGTCAGACGCTCAACTGACTGAACCACCCAGGCACCCCACCAGTTCAGTGTCTTTTAGAACCTGGGGAGGACACAGAGCTCGACTATTGGCCCATCAGGAGCCTTTTCCCTCTGCCCCCACTGGCCTCCACTTTGGTGTATAACAGAACCTCCTTGTGAATCTACAGTATCCCCATTCACTCATCATCCACCCATTCATTCCTTCTTTCATTCAACAACTACTTACTGGGTGCTTATCAGGTGTCAGGCTCTCTGGACAGTGCCGGGCCCTGGACATACAACTCCAGAAGACCGATCCAGCCCCTGCTTTCATGGCATTTTCACTGTGGTGTGGAAGAGACAGACAACAAACTCCGCACAAATCAGTGAACAAGAAATTCCAGACTGTGATGACAGCTGTTAGAGCAGAATTATAGGACAGCATGATGTGGTAGAAACAGAGGTGGGGGCACTTTAGCTAGAAAGGTCAAGATGGCGGACAGGCCTTTTAAGGAGGTGACATCTGAATTGAGACTTGAATGTTAAAAGGGAGCCAGACAGGAGAAAATCTGGGGGAAGCGTGTTCCAATTAGAAAGAAAAGAAAATGCAGACACCTTGAGGTTGTACAGACTTGGCCTTTTCTGGTACAAAAATAGTCAGAAGGGCTGGAATTAGAAAAGGAGGGGGGACTTTGTAGGAAATAAAGTCGGAGAGGTAAGCAGGGACCACATCAACCGCTAGAGGGTTTTAGGAAGACAACATGATTGACCCCTGCTTTTAAAGAAGCGAAAAGGCAGTGTGCCCACTTTGCTCTAAGCAGGTCGTAAAGGGGAGGCGTGGAGGCAGAGAGAGCAGGGGAGAAGGCTGATGCTGTGGTCCAGGCACAAGTGATGGCAGTTGGGACTGAGGTGGAGGTGATAGGAAACCCATGGATTGTGGATGTGTTTTGAAGGCGGAAGGGACAGGACTTTCTAATGGGTTGAGTGAAAGGAGTGATAAAAGCAAGTGCAAATGTATTAACCTCTGGGGTCCACGGTCACGGAGAAGCCTGGGGAGGGCACTGGGAAAGGAGGAGGAGCAATCAAAGATTCTGCCCGATTTGTGCTGCCTTTGAGACGTCTAGAGACAGTCGAGTGGAGAATGGATGTGCGAGTCCAGCGTTTGTATGTCTCCGCAGGTTCTTCTGCCCCCCGCCCTGTGTCTACCTCGCAGGTCCCGGCTGGAGGGTGAAGCCAGTGCAAGGCCAAGGTGAGGGTGGACTCCTGGACTGCCGGGCGCCTCCCTGCGGGGGGACAGCACAGTGCGGCCTGGGAGCCTGGCGGGGTCGCATGCGCTGTCTCGCCGCGCCCTCTGGCGGCGAGAACTCCGCTTGCCTGGCACCCGAGTCCTTCCCGAGCCGCCTCGCGTCCCTTTCCAGCCCACCAGCCAGGGGAAACCGGACCCACGGTCTGCGGTTACATGGGACTGGATGGCGCGTCCGGCAGCGCCGCCGAGACGCAGAAGTTGAATTTCGAAGAGCAGCCAGACTCCAGGGTGAGAGGGCGAGGGACGGGCTCTGATTCCTGTTTCCATCCTTGCCCCTTCCTTGGCGAGGAGGGCTCATCTACCCCCTGCCCACAACCCCCCCGCCCCCCGCAGAAGCCAAAAGATAGGTGAAGAGGCGGGGGGACCGGGATTCTGCCTCGAGGGTGAGCCTGAGAGCTGGGATCGTGCTGCTTCCTGTCACGTCCGATGGGGCAGACGTCAGAAAACTGGTGGCGGAGGGCTGGGATGAGACGGCCCGGTGCCCGCGCACCCCGTAGGAATTCGGTTGCGCCAAGACCCTGTACATCTCGGACGCAGACAAGAGGAAGCACTTCCGGCTGGTGCTGCGGCTGGTGCACCGGGGGGGCCGGGAGCTAGGCACCTTCCACAGCCGCCTCATCAAGGTCATCTCGAAGCCCTCGCAGAAGAAGCAGTCGCTGAAGAACACTGACCGTGAGCCGGGCGGGGCGCGAGGGCTGGGCGGGGCGGTCAGGTGCCCCCGGGTCCAGAGCTGCCGAACTGGGGAGGGAGGAGACCTAGATTGGAAGGGTCGGGCCAGAGTGGGAGAGGTGGAGTCTGAGCCGGGAGAGGGGCGGGGTCTGGCTCGGGTCTGGGAATGAGAAACTAGAGCAGAGGAAAGGGGACAGACGCCAGACACTGGGGAAAGGGACCGGGGGTGGGGTGGGGGGTGGGGAGTCCAGCGCAGACAAAAATGGCCAGCAGGTGCTGAACTAAAGACAAAAGTGACAATAAAAGGGCAGTCAAAAATATCTATTCAGTGCTTGATGTATGCCTGGCTCTGTGCTAGACGCTGGATCCCTGTAACATAAAGACAAGTGCCTGTTCTGGAGGAACCCACAGCCTAGCACGGGAGATAGACACACAGCGCTCATCAGAGAGACAGTTTGAAATAAGGACTGCCCTGGGTGCCAAGTGACAAATCCCAAGGGGGACGGGGCCTGAAGCACAGTGACAACACTGTTGTCACTACCCACGAAGTGAGGTGGGGGAAGGCATAGGAGAAGGTGGACTTCCCTTGCTAACATTAACAAGAATCATCCTATTTGATGTTCACTGCATGCCTCTGAAGCAGGTACTATCATTGTTCGAGTGATAGGAGGGCATGAGGGAAACGAGGTCTGGAACATTCACCCATTCATTTAATGAAATAGTTGGGCCTATCACAATCCAGGTGACTTGCCTACGATTGCCCGGCTAGGAAGAGACCCAGCCAGGATTTGAACTTGAGTCAGTGTCACGCCAAAGCCCATACTTACTTTCTGTCTGTTAAAAACCCTGTAGAACGTCTCAGACCCAGGCAGTGCTCTGTCTGGCCCTTGGTATCAGGTAAGTGGTATAGTGTGGTGGTTAGGAGTGAGATTCTGGAGCTAGGTGGCCTAGGTTTGAATCCTGGCTGCTACTGGCTAGCTATGCTATCTGGAGCAAGTTTCTCTCTCTCTCTCTCTCTCTTTTAATGTTTGTTTTGTTTTGTTTGAGAGGGAAAGAGCACGAGCAGGGGAGGGGAAGAGAGAGGAAGGCAGCCCTGATGCGGGGCTCAAACTCATGAACCACGAGATCATGACTTGAGCCGAAGTCAGATGCTCAACCAACTGAGCCACCCAGGCACCCCAAGTTGCTCTCTTAAACAGAGATAGGATCTACCCCAGAGCAGGGTTGGGAGAATCAAATGAGCTAATGCATATAGAGCATTTAAAACAGTCTCTGACATACAACAAACATTAGCTTTCGTTATTATCCAATGGATGGGAACTTAGGCTACGTATAAATTGAGCATTTACAATATGCCTCGCACTAGGAGGGGAGAGAAGATGACCTAGTGCTTTCTCCCCAAGTGGTCAAAGCTCCGTCAGAAAACAAAGCCATGGTTCTGAGTGTGATAAGCTGGAGGAGATCGGTGTCAAACCCTAGAAATATCACACTGCTGTTTCACACCACATGGTATTTGCTTATGCAGCCCCCTGAGCAACTCCTACCTACTTCCTGCTCCCCAGCTGAGAGTGTAACCTCCTCCAGGAAGCCCTCTTTCCCCCAGCCCTTACCACCTCATTTTGAAACTTTATATGTATGTCCCACCTCTCTGAGACTGTGAACTCCTCCAGAGTGAAACTGGGTCTAAGTCACCCTTTGGTGCCCAGTACCCAGCACAGTGCCTGCCCCAAAGGAGGCACTTAGTGCACTTAGTGAATACTTGATAATATTGTTTATCGAACTGAAGGGCGTCCAGGCAGCAAAAAGGAACAGGCAAGGATACAAAAGCAGGACTCCAGCCGGTACTTGGTAAAGGGCCATGAACTAGGAATGCCCAGTGTGTCTAGGCCAGTGAGCATACGAGGGGACTGACCCAGGGGACAGAGGACCAGAAAGTGCCTGGAAGTACAAGGAACCAAGGCAGGCTTGGGCGCTGATTTCACCTCCCCTCACAGTGTGCATATCCTCGGGCTCAAAGGTCTCCCTCTTCAACCGCCTGCGCTCCCAGACGGTCTCCACGCGCTACCTGTCCGTGGAGGACGGCGCCTTCGTGGCCAGCGCGCGCCAGTGGGCTGCCTTCACGCTCCACCTGGGTAACCACACCAGCCGGCCCGGGGCTGGGAGCTTCACATGCATCAGCTTATTTCATCTTCAGTACAACTCCTCGAGAAAAGTAAACTTTGCCCAAGGAACTGAGGCTTGCCAAAAGTCCCAGTGAGTCTGTGACTAGTCCAAGCCATTCTGACTCTAATGTCCAGCCCTCTCCATTCCTCTCAAACCCCACCCTGGGAGCAGACACTTTCAAGGATGGCCACAGATGACCCCTCCAGAATGAGAACCTTCAGCCTTAGCTGTCTCCCTGCATGCCGACCCTCCCCGCAGGATCCAAGTGTGATGTGGGGTGGGGCCAGAGGCAGGGAAGGCAGGGTTCAGGGGAGAAAGTTGGGACCCCTGAAAACCTTCCTTCCTTCCCTTCCCTCTTTTCACGCCAGCTGATGAACACTGTTCCCAGGGGGACTTCCCGCCTCGAGAGGGCTACGTCCGCTATGGCTCCCTAGTGCAACTCGTCTGCACTGTCACGGGCATCACACTACCTCCAATGGTATGAGAAGGGAGGGCATACCTGGGGGGTCCCCCCAGATCCATGCAGAAAGTCTGACCCACAAGGGCAGGGCTGGAAGGTGAGGGCCCAAGGCATAAAGACATGCATTCTCACTCTGGATACTCAGTGCTTTGTGGGGCTGGATGGAGGTAAAGGGTGGGGGGTGGGGGGACCTGCCAGAGCCCATATGGCTACAGGATAGCAGAAAGCTAGCTGGGAGGGCAGCCTCTGTGCACCCAGGCACCTTGCCGCCATACTTCCTACCACTCCTTCTGTTGTAGATCATCCGCAAAGTGGCCAAACAGTACGCACTCCTCGACGTGGACGAGCCCATCTCCCAGCTGCACAAGTGTGCGTTCCAGTTCCCCGGTGAGCCTGCCGGAGAGGGTGGCACTTACTTATGCCTCGCCGCAGACAAGGTGGTGCAATTCCAGGTGAGAGGGAACGAGTACTGGCACCAAGCGTTCTAGAAGGTCAGAACATAGAGAACCGGAGAACGTAAGATGGTCATCATCATAATGACTGCTGCTTACTGAGCGACACTGCCTCCCATGGAATGTTAGAATCATAGACTATCAGGACAGAATCCAAGAATGTAGAAAAAATAGTAACAATATTAATTGAGCAGTACTCCTTCCCAAGGAATGTTAGAGTCATAGAATGTTGGGAGATAAGATTTTAGAATGAAAATAAAAATAAGTAATAGAATTGAGAATTATTGTGCAAAGAGCATTAGAATCATAGACTGTTCAGGGGCACCTGGGGGGGGGGGGCTCAGTTGGCTGAGCATCAGACTCTTGATTTCGGCTTGGGTCAAGATCTCAAGGGCTCATGAGATCGAGCCCTGTGTCAGGCTCTGTGCTAACAGCATGGAGCCTACTTGGGATTCTCTCTCCCCCTCTCTCACTCTGCACCCCACCCCCCCCAAATAAATAAACATTTTTTTAAAAAGGATCATAAAATGTTAAGCCACAGAATTTTAGAATGTGGAAAATTATTATTAAGCAGTACAACTCCCAAAAGAATATGATCATGGAATGTTGAGATAAAATCATAATATATAGAAAATAACATTATTATTGAGTTATATTGCCTCCCCAAGCATTTCAAACCTGTAGAATAGAATTGCACAATGTTAAAAAATAGAATTTCAGAATCCTAAGAAAATAGACCTTTGGAAACCAGCTAGTTCAGGGAACTTAAGGGCCTTGTCCAAGCTCACAGGGCAGGTAAAGCTCAGAGCCTAGGACTGGACCCCAGGATGCAAGAGCCCAGGCATTATGCTGACCCATGCCACCCATGCTGGTGGCCACCATCCCCTTGGGTCTCCTCCCAGGCCTCCCTCTGCCCCAAAGAGGCGAACAGGGCGCTGCTCAATGACAGCTCTTGTTGGACCATCATCGGTACCGAGTCGGTGGAGTTCTCCTTCAGCACCAGCCTGGCGTGGACCCGGGAACCCGTCACCCCAGTGCCCCTCATCAGCACCCTGGAGGTGAATCCGGGGCGCTGGCGGGCGCAGGGGGCGCGGGCGAGCGGGGATCTGGCTCAGGGTGTGTGTGGGGGGTGGGGGGAATGGGGTGCTGGCGAGGGAGAGCAGCAGGCTCTCGGCCACCGCCCCCGCTCCCTCCCGCCCCCAGCTGAGTGGTGGGGGAGACGTGGCCACGCTCGAGCTCCACGGCGAGAACTTCCACGCGGGGCTCAAGGTGTGGTTCGGGGACGTGGAGGCCGAAACCATGTACAGGTATAGGGGGAGCCTCCCTCGGGCCGCGGGGAACGGGACGGGTGCGTGCCGTTGGCGGCACTGCAGCCCTAACCTCGGTGCCACCCCAGGAGCCCGCGGTCCCTGGTGTGCGTGGTGCCCGACATCGCCACCTTCGGCAGCGACTGGCGCTGGCTGCGCACACCCATCACAGTGCCCGTGAGCCTGGTGCGCGCCGACGGCCTCTTTTACCCCAGCGCCTTCTCCTTCACCTACACCCCCGAGTACAGCGCGCGGCCCGGCCCCCCGGGCGCCCCCGAGCCCGCAGCCGACGCCGACGCGCTGCTCGAGAGCATCCACCACGAGTTCACGCGCAGCAACTTCCACCTCTTCATCCAGACTTAGGTCCGCGCCCACGCCCGGCCCGGGCCTCCCTGGGGCCCGGGCTCCGCCCCCTGCCCCTTTGCTGGGAAGTCAAGGCCAGAGCCTGGGCGGCAGAGGGCCCTCGCCGGAGAAACTGCCACTCACTCGTCCACCTGAGTGATGCTGTCCAGTCACCAGCGTGGCTCTCCCCGTGTTTGTCTGTCTCTCTAAATCAAGCAGTCTCTCTCTCTCTCTCTCTCTCTCTCCCCCACAGTACCTTTGCACATCTCCCCATTTGTGTGTCCCCATGCCTCCAACTTTGTCTGTTTCTCCCTGTGTCTCAGTAGGATTTCACACACTCTTAAGAGCCAGGCCTGGGACATTTACCTTCTGTGCAGTTGTGTCTCCTCTTGAAGAGGACCCACACAGTTCCACACACCCAGGCCTGGAGCACCATGTCCTGCATGGACTGCTAGCTCTGACCCTGAATGCCAGCTCCCACCTAGATCTCCAGGTCGGGCCTAAAGTGCTGGCTCTCACCTGGAGCACCTGGCACTGCCCGGAGCACTGGGTTCCACTTGGAGCACCGGGTCACTCCTAGAGCTCTGGGTCTCACCTGGAGCACTAGACTCACCTAGGACACCAGATCCCACCCATTGCAGGGGATTTTGCTGGAGCACCAGGTCCCATGTGAACACTGGGTTCCACTGGAAACACTGAGTCCCTCCTGGAGCATGAGAGGCCTGCCCTGGAGTACTGGGTTCCGCCCTGGAAGACAAGACCTGCCCCTCCTGGTGCTCCCAATGGCTGCGGCCAGGCATAGCACCCTTGCCTGTGCTTGCTTTGTGCCCGGGACGGTGGTCAGGTCTTGCCATCTTCACTGTCCACCCAGGCACTTCTCTTGCAGGCCCAACAGATCCTGCAGGTCAGGGATTCCTCTGCCATCCCAAGTCAGAGTCTGATCTGAATGACCCACCTCCCCAAGGAGGGAGGCGCTCAGTGTAGTTCCCCCCACTCGCACACACAAGAAGGGACCATGAGTCCAATGGAGCAGAGAGCCTGCCATTTTGACCCTTTCTGGAGAAGGAATGAGGTTTAGAAGCAGCTAGCATTCTTGAACTCCTGTCCCTGTCCTGGGGCCCACCTGTTGGCTCTGGGGTTGAGTTCCCTACTAGCTATCCCCCCAGTCTAAGCAAAGATGCACCCCAGGCTCAGGGGCAAACGTAAGATACAAAACACAGGACAGTTCCAGGCAGAACTCCTGGGATCAGCTGGGCAGTAACTCAGCTGAGAGAAGAGCTTCTCAGCATGGGAACCAGGAACCAAATGACAGTCTGCCCTGATCAACCTGCCCACCCCCTGTCAAGTCTGTGCTTTACAGGGAAGCAGAAGAACCAGGCAGGGTCCTCGCTCAGGCCGTTGGAGCCATGGATATAGATATATGTGGGTGCCAGCTACCTGGTCCAGTCCCTGTGGTGCCGCATGGGGACAACTGCTCTAAAATGTGGGTTCAAGGCTCTCACTCCTCTGGGCCCTTCCTGGAATTCTGAGAAGGGCTCATTCCCCAGGAAGTTTCTCTCCGGGGGGGGGGGGGGGGGGGCCCGTGAGGAAGAAGCTGACATTTCCCAAGGAGAGGAAGTGACCTTTGCTCTTTAAACTTCCCCAAATTATAGTGAAGATCTGTCATCTGCCATCAGCAGGCTGAAACTCACTATGATCAGGAAAGAGAAGCTTGTTTAAGGGCCCTTCATGGCCCCTGAGAGTGAATCCTGGCTGAGGAATGCAGGGGACAAGTTGAATGGGAAATGTCCCCTACGTGAGTGCCTGCTTCAGAAGAGTTTGCTCTCACTGCCCCGTGATACTGTTGAAGCACGAAGCCACTTAGAATGAGTTTCACAGCAGGGTGTTGGGGCACAAGGGCCCATTCAGCCCTGTGCTCGAGGACTTCCTCTGCCACTTCATAAGGCAGGAGTCCTGGAAGCCAAGATCCTAGGTTGGCCTGAAAGCCCAGGCCCCTCCATGCAGCCCTGTCTTCTTTTGCACACCCCTCGGGGCACCATAGGACCCTCGGTCCCATGTATGCACCCACGTGGAAGTCTGTGACCTCAAAGCCTTGGCCTGTCTTCTAAGTTCCAGCTGCAGTACTATGCTCAGAGGTCCTCCTAGCCCTGAACCTGAATCTGACATCCAGTCCCTTCCCACCCCACCCCCTTGCAGCAACCCACTGTCTGTGTCCTTTCCTCACTCCATCCAGCCACAGAGGCCTTCACCTTGCCTTCCGCACTAGAATAAACTTCCTTCTTTCCTCTCCCTCCACCTACTGCCCTGATCTCCAAATCCAGCTCAAATGTCACCTCTTTCAAGATTTCCCTAAGGCAGGATCAGCTACATACTTTAGGGGACCCAGTGCAAAACTAAAATGTATGGGGGAAAAAAAAGAAGAAAATGAAAATGTATGGCCCCCTTGTGCAAAAACTATTTAGAATTTCAAGACCGTGACAACAGAGCATAAAATCAAGAAAGGCCCTTCTAAGCCTTGAGTGCACAATTCACATGCCCTGGACCCACCCCCGTATTCCCCTAGAACTTCCCTGGGACCATGTCACCACCCACCCTGGATGAAAGGACTTTATGTATATGTCAATTGTCCCCTCTAGACTGTGAGCTCATGGGGAAAGAGGCTCATGGGTGTGTGTCCTAGAGGGTGCATTACCAGACCTTGAACTTTGAGCGGGGCTCAATAAATACCAAATGGCCAAGCATTCATTGCCTTGGCAGTTTGTATATTTGCGAGTGTAAAGTGAGACCAGCAGGTGGCACTGTTTCCCTCCCAAGAATTAAGTTTTCGAGTATCCTTAGAGAACTGTGAGGGTATTAAAAGATAATCTTCACATTTTCACGCTGTCAGAATGGGAACCCTAGGGTTGAGAATCATTGCTCTAGTCCATATTCCCCATTCGTTTTACAGACGGGGAAACTCAGGCTCGGAGAGAAGGCCCATGAAGCTCCAAGAGCACGTTGATAGCAGAGCCTAATTTAAGTCCTATACTCCTAATGCTAAATCTGGGACTCTGAGGTTCTCACAGAGTGAGAATAAAGTCAAAATCTCTGTTCTAAAATCTCCTAGCTTACCAGCTCTCACGTTGCCTGAGTTTCCACCATGAACTACTAGTCTACAGGCTTAAGCATTGACTTTTCGGTTTCTCTCTCTCATTTGTTTCTTTTAAGTGGGGCTTCCCCGAAGAGTCTCACATTAACCACAGTGTGGGTAAAATTCTCAGACACCTTCCTCCCTGGGTTAGGATGTAGACTGCTGAGGGCACAGACCGAGAAGACAGAGAGGGAGGGAGGAAGCAGCCTTATTTGATGGGAATAAAACCGATAAGATAATATCCACTAAGTTTTCCAAGAGTCATCCCTGACCATACTTACCAAAAAAAAAGGCCCTCCAGGCAGGCTTGGCTCTCTTCCGGACCCCAAGGGACAAAGGCAGGCGGGGCAGTATTGGCATAATAATGCTTTCAGTGGGCAAAGTGGTCAACACCTGCCATAGCTGGCTGATCGCCCCAGAGGCAGGCAGAGTTCTAGGGGAAGGCAGAGCCTTGTGGCCAATGGGTTCGATTATAGAGTGCTGAAGTAGAGCCCACTCTACCAAGCTCATTCCCAAGCCTTCATCTAGTTCAAAACATCCTCCTCCCCAACCCTGGCTGGTGCCTGGAAGAGTGCCATCCCTGCCTCATCCAGGCTAGGGGTGTCCTAGGCTTGGCTGATTTTGTCCTGATTGTGTGTGTGTGTGTGTGTGTGTGTGTGTACACACTTCTTCTTCCCACACTAATTACTCATATGTATTTTCAGAAGAATCACCTTAAGATCCAGGAATGCAGCTCAAACAGTGGCTTTCCAGACAACACCCATCTTGGAAACAAAGTTGTGTGTTTAAGCCAGGCACATTTGGCAAGTTCAAGTCACTTAACCTCTCTGTGCTTCAGTTCCCCCTTCTGTAAAAGGGGAAGTATTTGTTTCACAGGATGTTGTGAGGAATAAAATAACCAATGTATGTAAAGCAACAGGGCCTGGCCCACTGTAACCACTTTCTGTGGGACAGTTGCTGTCATTGTCATTACTCCAGAAATATTTTTACAGATGATCCAGACTCTGCACTCCCCGCCATTTGACAGATGGAGAAATTGATTGTCCAGAGGGAGTAAGTGACCTGCCTGTATTGGTTGTCTATGTTGTGTAACAGACTACCACAAACACAGCAGTTAAAATAACACCCATTTATTGCCCTTATGGTTTCCATGGATCGGGAGCCCAAGCACAGCTTAGCTGGGTTTTCTGCTATGGGTCTCCCAAGGCCATAATCAAGGAGTGAGCCGGGACTGACAGGGCGGTCTCTGAGGCAAAGGGTCCTACTCCAGGCTCACAGAGTTGTTGGCAAAATTCACATCCTTGTAGCTGTAGAACTCATGGAAGCTTGCTTCTTCAAGGCCAACAGGAGAGCATCTCTCTTACCAAGAAGGTTCCGGATCCTCTTATTAGCGCTTTCAACTGATTAAGCTTGGCCCACCCAGGGTAATCTCCCCTTTTAATCACTAAAAAAATCAACTAATTTGGGACCTCAATTATATCTGCAAAACCCCTTTGTCTTTCCCGTCTGATGTAACCCAATCATAGGAGTGGCATCCATCATGGTTACAGATCCTGCCCACATTCAAGGGGAAGGAATATACTGGTGTATACAACAGGAGGTAAAAATCTTGGGGGCCGTCTTAGAATTCTGACCATCCCATCCCCCAAAACTACATAGCAAATGATTTCCAAGGAGGAATCTATTTGGCCTGTAGGCCTCCCAATGCCCCATGAAGAATGGCCCCATATAGGGGTCACTGCTTCTCTGGTTTCAGAAAAAATGGCAGGATCATGAGCAAAAAAGGCTCAATATTGTCTAAATCCACTTTGCATCCTGTGCCCAATTCTCAGAAATAATATTATACCAAGTCCCACTCAGAGTCTACTCTCTAGATAAATTAAGTCCTGTGCAGAATTGACCAGAAACAAGGCTATAGTAACCAGCCTTTGAGATGGCTTCTAAGGAGTCTTGCCTCCTGAAGGTATTCCTGCCCTTCCCTTCTGCGGTCTCCTTTCACGATGAATAGGGCTGACGCGTGTGACCAATAGGATAGTGTGGAAGTAACAGTGAGTGACCAAAGGCTTGGCCATAAAAGGCATTGTAGCTTCCACCTGGCTCTCTAGGATCGCTTTCTGGGAAAAGCCAGCCACCATGTAATGAGGACATTAGCCCTTTGAGGGTCCACATGGCAAGGAACTGAGGCCTCCTGTCAACAGCCATCATCAACCTGCCAGACATATAAGTGAGCCATCCTGGAAGTGGACCCTCCAGCCCACTCAAGCTTCTAGATGCTCTGGCCCAGGTCAACATTTTGACTACAACTTCATGAGACAACTACCTAGCTCAGTAGCTCCCACATTCCTGGCCTGCAGACACTATGTGAGACAGTGGTCAGAAGCCCTGAAATTTGGGGATAATCTTACACAATAGATAACACAGGGGCCTTGTGGAGCTTCTGTCTCACCCAAAGATGGCGCTGACGAGAATGAAGTGCTTTTAGTGAGCACTTACAGTACTCTAGGCTCCGACCTACCTCCCTGTAGGCTGTTGGAGCACAAGGTAGCAGCTATTAAAAGCTGAAATCCCTTGGGGCGCCTGGGTGGCGCAGTCGGTTAAGCGTCTGACTTCAGCCAGGTCACGATCTCGCGGTCCGTGAGTTCGAGCCCCGCGTCAGGCTCTGGGCTGATGGCTCAGAGCCTGGAGCCTGTTTCCGATTCTGTGTCTCCCTCTCTCTCTGCCCCTCCCCTGTTCATGCTCTGTCTCTCTCTGTCCCAAAAATAAAA